GAGAGGGTGGAATGGCCGGTCCCCTAAGCACTGGATGTTGGGGTGACACCAGCTGCGGGGAGAACTCAGGACTATGGTCTTGCTGCTCCCAGCTAGGGGCCCGCCCTGCCTTGTGGCCCTGGGCTAGGCAGTGCCCCCCCCCCCAGGCCAGTCCTTAAGCTGAGGGATCCAGAGATCTGCTCTCACTGGTGGCTCTGAGGATCCAAGGTGGTAGACCCCAGCCCAGAACCGGGAAGGTTGGCCAGCCCCTCCTGCCCAACTCCCAAGACATCCCAGAGATGTCGCCTGGCCACCAGCGAAGCATCCCTTCCACTGCGCTGACCGCTCTTTGCCCACCACCACCACCTGGCTGCGGGGAGAGCTTGGTGCCTCATGGCCGTGGGGTGCCCTGCTCCCCACATCTGGAAGTCTTGCAGGCTTTTTTGTTGTTGTTGTTGGTCATGGAGCTTGAACTCTGGGCCTGAGCGCTGTCCCTCAGCTCTTCAGCTCTACCACTTGAGCTACAGCACCACTTCCAGTTTTCTAGTGGTTTTATTGGAGATAGGAGTCTCATGGTCTTTCCTGCCCGGGCTGGCTTTGAACCGCGATCCTCAGATCTCAGTCTCCTGAGTAGCTAGGATTACAGGCGTGAGCCACCGGCGCCCGGTGCCTTTGCTTAGCGGCTCCAAAGCCTGGCACATGCCCTAAAACTCTAGGCTACTGTCTCCCCAGTGTGCTCACCCCATGTGTGGGGCCAAATGGGGTGCCAGGCTCAGGTGAAAGCCACACAGACAGTCACTGGCACTGCTGATAGATGTACCCCAGCCCCCAAGCTCCCTTGGACCCACTCTGTCCTCCACCAAGTTTGACCCTTCAACACACACACACACACGCACTCTGTAGTTCAAAATACACCTGTACACACACACACACACACACAACACTCCAGAGAGGCCGCCTGCCGGGAAGGAGGGCCCAGAGCCAGATTCTCCACAGAGGGGGTTCCCTCTCAAAGGTCCTTCCTTCTCCACTTAAATGTGACCATTTTTCATGACTCGGTCTCTCAGTTTACATGTGCATGCACAGGTTCGTCATAGAACTGTATTTTCTGTCTAGTGTAAGTCACCGTCTGCGAACGTTCATGTCTAAAATCACTTTGCCAAGACCATGTCATTTACTTTTCTTGCACAGCAAATGACTGACGGCATTGCAGGTAGACTGGAGCTCTGCCTCCCTCCCCTCCCTTCCCCCTCCCCTCCCCTGCCCTTCTCTTCCATCCTCCCTACTGTAAAATCCACAGTTAGATACAATCTCCACTGTCAGACTAGGAAAGCCACCCATCCCTGGAACTCCCAGGGGCTCCCTGGAACTCCCAGGGGCTCCCAGGAAGGCAAGTTCCACCTTGGATCCCTCTGGAGCGAGTATGGGGATCAGGCTGGTTCTAGAAGAGTCTCCTGGGTGGGGAGGGAGGAAACAGAGTCCTGTGGAGGGGGAGTGGAGGGGGAGTGGAGGGGGAGTGGAGGGGGAGGGCCCTGCCTCTGAACCAGCCCAGTGGCATCCTATCAAAGTGTCTGCTTGTATGGGTGAGGGAGGGGGATGAGGGTCTGAGAGCCTCTGGGACTCCTGGGGGGGGGGGGAACACATCTGCAAGGAACACTGGGGTCAATCTACCTGAAGGCAAGTCCTGGGCTGCCCTTATCACCCCAGGCAGCGCCCAGGTGAGCCAAGAGGGGCCAGCATGAACTTGGCTCTGATGGGAGAACTGGACATCTGGCAGAGACTCACAGGGCTTGGGGGGGGGGGGGGACAGGAAACAGGCCAAAGAGCTGGTAGACAAGAGGTGACAGCACACACACACACACACACACACACACACACACACACACACACATCTTTTTGGTTTTTTGCAATAACAGCGGCACTGACCTGCCAGTGAGGTTTGTACTTGCCAGGCCAGCACTAAGGACCTGGCCCACAAACCTGCCTTGGGCAGCGCTGCAGATGGGGGGCCCCCAGCTCACAGCCTGGATGGGGGCTCCCCAGCAGGCAGAGGAGCCAGCTGTCCTTGCCTCAGTTACTCCTGGCTTAGAAGCTCTGGACCAAGCTAGTGAGGAGAATGCCTCCAAGGAGAGGAGACAGCAGTTGTTTCCAAGCTGGGAGGGGAAAGCGTATGGCCTGGCGCTCAGGATAACTCTCCTCTGTCACTGCAATGGACAAAAAGAGTAGCGCAGCCAGCCCTGGGCTGTCAGTCCCCGAGCGGGAGGAAGCTGGTTAGGTGTTGGTCAGAACTGTGAATGAAATTCTGTGCCTCCCATCCTGCAAAAGAGTAGGGGAGTGGAAAAAAAATTATTTCTTCTTTCTCTTCTCCTTCCACTTCTTCCTCCTCTAATATGGGGCTTGAACTCAGGGCCTGGTTGCTTCCTAAGCTTTTTTTTTTGCTCAAAGCTAATGCTCTGCCGCTTGAGCCACAGATCCACTTCTGGCTTTTTTGGTGACTGGCTGAAGACAAGAGTGTCACTGGTTTTCCTGCCCAGGCTGGCTTCGAACCGTGATCCTCAGGTCTCAGCCTCCTGAGTAGCTGGGATCACAGGCGGGGAGGGGGTCCTGCGGGCCAGGCCGCACCGAGGGCGCGGAACCCTCGCGCAGCCCGTGCGGAAAGGCCGCGCTTCCCGCGCCGGGCCCGGGTGCCCGCAGCTGCCGCGCATCTGTGCGCTGGGCCGGGCCGCGCGGCGGCTCCACGGGCAGAGCGCGGGCGCCCACCAGCGGCGGCTCCCGGCGCTGCCGCCGCCCCGGGGCGGCCCGGTGGCCCCGCGACCTCCGCGCGGGGGACCCAGCGCCCGCCACCCGCTCCCCAGCTCGGGGCGCCCGGGATCAGCGCGCGCGTTTCCCGGGGCTGGAGTGGCGCGGGGCGGGAGCCAGGCGCGGAGCCCCGCTGTCCGGAGCCCCGTTTGTGCACCTGGCGAGGGGCGGGAAGGGCGACCGCTGGGAGATCGGCGGTCCCCGGTTCCTCCGCTGCGGAGGGCAGCACGGCGGCCCGGAGGGCCCCCCCCCCAGCAGGGGACTTTTCCCGGGAAGCTCCCGACGTGGGAAGCGCCAAGGCCCGGGTACCGCGGTTTCCTCGCTCCGCGGCCCCGGGGCCAGCGCTTCCGAGGGCGCGGGCTGCCCCCACGAGGGACGGCGCGCGGGGGGGACAGCCCGGGAAGGGGCCCTGGCCAACGGGGTGGCCCGAGGGGCTGGCACGAGGCCCGAGAACCAGGCACCAGGCGCTTTTCTCTGGGTGGTCGAGGCCGGACTCGAACCCGCCCCCCGCGTTGTGCGGCCCGGGCTCGATTTCGTTGGGCGAAGACGCCGCTCGCCACGGGCCGGGCCCAGGTCCGAGGCGGGACGTGGGCTCGATCTCGCCGCCCGGCCGTCCGCCCCCCACGGTCTCACCGCACGTTTTGTTCCGGGGGGCGGGGGGATCGGTCCTCGTGCACCTGTCCGATGTGGGAGGCATCGAAAACTCAGCCGAATGCCCCGAGCGCCCGGGAACTCGCGGGCCTTCGTTCCTCGCCGTCCTGGGAGCCCGTGCGGGGCGACAGCTCCGAGCTCCGAGCTCGGCCGCGGCGGCTCCTCACCGGGCCGAGGACAGGGGCGAGGAAAAGGTGGATCCCGCCGCGGGGGTGAGCGCCAGGCGTCCCCACCCGGCCGGACCGCGGAGCAAAGGCCCCGGGGCCCAGGGAAGAGCTGTCCGGGCGCGTGCGCATGGCGCGACGGGCCTGCGGGGTCCGCTTTCCGCCCACAGCGAGGGAGCCGACCCTCCCGTGGGGGGCGGTGACCCTTCGCGGTGCCCCGCCGCGGGAAGCACGCGCGCTGCAGGCCCCACCGCGTTTTCCCCCGGTGCCACGGCCCGCGCCCCCGACCCCGCAAGAAGAACGACGCCCCGAGGCCTGCACGATCCGGAAAGCGGCTTTACACCGAGGGGAGCGGACGGGGTGTTCGGGCCCAGCCGCCCGCGGTGCTCCGGCCCGGGCACGGGGGGCCACGGAGGCCGGGGGCGCAGCCGTGCGGGGCCGGAGCCGTGCGGGGCCAGGAGCCGCCCGGGCGGACGGCCGGGCACGTGGAGCCCCCTGTGCGGCGGAGGCTCGTGGATCAGAACAGACTGTGGGGCCGAGGGGGAGAGGAACTTCTGGGGGGGCGGTGACCCCGGCTTCGGGGGCCCCCCTCACCAGGCGCCCAGCTGAGGGTGCCGGCGTCACCGGCCTGAAGGGAAGCCGGGTCGCGGCCAGCCGGGCGGGGAAGGCGGGACGGCGGGCTCGCGCTCGGGGTCTTCCCGCCGGCCGCGGCTGCTCGCAACCTGCAACTCTCGGGGGCCGCGGCGGCCGCGCGGGGGGACCCCGCGACCCGGGCGTCCTCGGCGGGGCGGGCCGGGCCGGGCCGGGGCGGGGCCTTCCGCCCCTCCTCCCCGCCGCGCGCGGCCCTCGCGGGCCCCGTTCCGCCCCGGCCGGCGCCGCGCGGTGCCCGCGACGGGGGCTCCGATTGGCTGCGCCCCGCGTCGCTCGGGCGGCCCCGCCCCGCGGGCCCCGGGGTACTAACCCCGCGCGGGCCGCCGCGGCCCCGCCACTTGATTCTCTAGGATTTGGCCTGGGGCGGCGGCGGCGGTGGCGGCGGCCGGGGGCTGCGGGACGGGGGGCGGCGGCGGCGGTGGCGGCTCAGCCCGCGCGGGCCCCGCCGCGGCCTAGACAGCGGGACGCCGCACTCGGGCCGTGCGCCCGGGATGCGGGGCTAGCGAGGGGGTGGGGGCGGCGCGCGGCCGTCCATCCGTCTGGGCACCGGGACCTCGCGGCCCCGCCGGCCCCCTCGCGGGGAGGGGGGGGGTCCCCGGGCACCGTCCCCCCCCTCCCCGGCCCCCGGCCCCCTGCTCTCGCGCCCGCCGGTCCGCTTTCCCGCTCCCCGCGGCTAGCGGCGACCCCCGGGGGCGCCCACGCCCGCCGCCGCCGCCGCCCGCGCCCTGACGGCCGCTGTTATGCGTATTCCCGTAGACCCGAGCACCAGCCGCCGCTTCACTCCCCCCTCCACGGCCTTCCCCTGCGGCGGCGGCGGCGGCGGCGGCAAGATGGGCGACGGCGGCGGCGCCCTGAGCGCGCAGGCGGCCGTGGGGCCCGGCCGCGCCCGGCCCGAGGTGCGCTCGATGGTGGACGTGCTGGCGGACCACGCGGGCGAGCTCGTGCGCACCGACAGCCCCAACTTCCTCTGCTCCGTGCTGCCCTCCCACTGGCGCTGCAACAAGACGCTGCCGGTCGCCTTCAAGGTGCGTGTGGGGGGGACGGGAGGGGGAGGACACGGGGGGCCCAGGTCCGGGGGGTCCCGCAAGCTGCGGGGGGGCCCTCCCGCGGTGGGTGTGTGCCTTCCTCCCCGGCAGGACCGGCCGAGGGAGCCGCACGCCGGGCACGGGGACGGGGCGACCTGCTGGGCATGCATCCTGAGCCCAGCACTTTTGGGGTTCGCCCTCACCCCCCACCTCCGAGCCTCCTGGCCTCGGTGGGGCCCTGACGCAGACGCGGAAACGGGAGTCCGGGGCGAGGGGCGCCCCGCGCGCCCCTGCTGCAGCCCCGTGGGCAGCGGGTGTGGGGGGGTCCCCGAGGCCGGGCCCGGCACCCCTCCTCCGGCACTGCCGCCCTCGCTTCCTGCTCATGCCCTCCGCGTCGGAAGCCGGGGCGCTCTGCATCCCGAATGGCGGCCGAGATTGGGGGTGCTCCACCCCGGGCACCCCCCACCGTCTTTCCCACCTCTTTCTCCAGGCCAGGGAGTAGTCGAGTGCTTTACTGTCTTTTTTTTTTTTCTTTAAAGAAGAGAAAAGCGGGGGGGCAGCGAGATGAAACGAAAACGCCTCGGTTTTCCCCGAAATCTCGCAGCTGCCGCGAGCCAGGGCCGGGCAGGAAGGGCCGGCGGTGGGGGGAGCGCGGGGCCCGGGGCGGCCGGGGGAGCGCGGGGCCGGGGGAGCGCGGGGCCCGGGGCGGCCGGGGGAGAGCGGGCCCGGGGCGGCCGGGGGAGCGCGGGGCCGGGGGAGCGCGGGGCCGGGGGGAGCGCGGGGCCGGGGGAGCGCGGGGCCCGGGGCGGCCGGGGGAGCGCGGGGCCGGGGGAGCGCGGGGCCCGGGGCGGCCGGGGGAGAGCGGGGCCGGGGAAGCGCGGGGCCGGGGGAGCGCGGGGCCCGGGGCGGCCGGGAGCGCGGGGGCCCGGGGCGGCCGGCGGAGCGCGGAGCCGGGGGAGCGCGGGGCCGGGGGCGGCCGGGGAAGCGCGGGGCCGGGGGAGCGCGGGGGCCCGGGGCGGCTGGGGGAGAGCGGGCCCGGGGCGGCCGGGCCGCAGCCGGAGCCGTCCTCGCTCCCGCTCCCACTAAAACGACCGCAGATCGGAAGAAGGGAGAAAAAAATATATAAGAAGAGCAGGAGAGGCTCTTTGAGGTCTCCGGGGTGACATCTTAAAATAATCTCCCGGGGAGGAGCCGGGAGAGGCCCCGCGTGACCGCGATCGGCAGATCGGGGTTTTACTGTCACTCGGAGCTTAAAAGGGATCTTTGAAATTAGAAGAAGACAGGATGTTGACAGGAAATCTGGCCTTTTTAATCAGACCCCGAACATGCTCTCCTTGAAATTTTTACCATCTGGGCCCCCAGTCGGCACGCGGCGTTGGCAGCGGCAGCCACGTTCGGATGACTGGGGGACTCTGGTTTGGGTCGCGTCTGCTTGCTTTATTTTCGCTGGCTGTTTTGTTTTCCTTTTCAAAAGGGTGCAGGGGGGGGGGGTGATCCTCCACCGGGGAGAAGGGGTCTGGCCAGGAAGGGCGTCTCCACCCATCAGGCAGTTCCCGAGTTCGCATCTACCACCTATACCAGCCACCCCCCTCCTGCATGGAGGTTTCGGCTCTCAAAACAACGGATTTGCGTTGTGCTTTTTTCTCTGCTTAACGAATTCAGACCCGGTAGCGGCCAAAAGACTGAGCCCGGGCCATGCCACAGGACACACTCCATTCTCGAAAGAGCCACTGTGTGAACTGAGTGCCAGGAGCCCCTCCTGCCGTTATTATTGTTGGTGATGTGCTTTTGACTTGGAAACCTGGCTGCTAGGAGCCGTGGTCTTGCTTGTTCTTTTGCCCCAGCCAGAAGAGGACAGGAACGAATGGTGTCCCCCTTTGGGGTGACCGGCTCCCCCTCAGTTGTCACTGCTTAGGTTTAGTTCAGTTAATAGAGAAGGGTGATTTCTTGGGACCCGGGTTAACGGATTGATCTAGGATGGGAGCCGGGAAGGCAGCGACGACACGGTCTTGCTTTCTGTATACTTCTTGCGGGAAAGCCCTTTATTGTCTCCTCGAATCCCTGCACCGGAGAAATCCGCAGTGCGCCTGGGACCTAAGGGAGCTGCCCGCCCCGCCCCTCGTCCCCCTGGCCTGTGCCTTTCTAAGCAGTGGCTCCGGCTCTGCATCCTCAGGTGGTGGCGCTGGGGGATGTACCCGACGGGACCGTGGTGACGGTGATGGCCGGCAACGACGAGAACTACTCGGCTGAACTGCGCAACGCCTCCGCTGTCATGAAGAACCAGGTAGCCAGATTCAACGACCTGCGCTTTGTGGGCCGCAGCGGGCGAGGTGAGCGAGCGGAAGGGCGGTCTCACCCCCTAATGGGCTGGCCCAGGGCCCGGCGGGGCCCAGGAAACTGAGAGAGACTTGGGGGTCTCCACGGAAGCCCCCAGAAACAGCTCCTATGTCGGGCTGTTGGGGTGTTGCAGACCCCTGCGAGGATGGAGGGTCATGGTAGCTCCTCAGACTCCCCAAATTTGGAGTCTTACTGCCTCCGAAAGCCTCCCTGAGGCTCTCTTTTTACAAAGCGCCTTTGGTCTCACCAAAGATGCTCCGAGAGGGTTTGAAGAGAAAGGGTGGCACACTGTAGGACATTGAATGTCAGCGAGCTCAGCTTCAAGACCACCTCTTGCCCGGAGGGTGGCTCCCCAGCCTGGCGCACATACTGAGGCAGTGGCCCGAGGGCAGGGTCCCCAGCCACACCCCGGGGCTGTGGAGCAGGAGGCTGCTGCTCCCGAGAGCCATCCTCACTCACATCCTGGGCGGAGGAGCCCGGGAAACCCTGCCCGGTGAAGTGGAGACACTTGTGAGTTGCTGGCCCTTTAAGACCTTCACATCCAAAAGACACACACACACAAAACATACACACACACAGCCCCTTGGGTTAGAAAAGGAGCTAAAGCTCCCGGCTCAGACTCCAGAGCTGCTGGGGCAGAATTGTGCTTTTCATCACCAATAAACACAGTTCCAGCCCCTGCTCACGAACGGGCATCTGGGCACCATTTTGTCCTCCAGCCCTTCAGTGTATACATACAAATGTCAAACATATTTTGACTTTTCAGCATTAATTAAAACCAGGGCATTATTTGCATGTAATAACTGTTTACTTGTTACTTTTTATGAAACTGAAATAGTTTACATTCTTTCAAACATTTCCTGTTCCTGTTGGCTCCCTTCCCCACGCGCAGCTTTCTTTCAAACGTTGCCCATAACTGGTTGCAGGTTGATGGATGGAAAATGTTTGCTTTTATGAATTAAGCTTTCATTGCTGCTCCTAATTAGTCTCCAAGCTCCTTTTGTCATCCCCAATCTCTCAAGTCCTTTGCAACTTAATCCCTGGCCCTGAGTGGAGAGTTACTGGTGTGGGTTGGTGGCAGGCTGACAACACTAGCCCAGGTTTCGGGGAGGGCGGGAACCGGCAGAAAGTGGGCGGGGCCCTGGAGCCCCAGCAAGGCATGGGGAACCTGGGGCTTTCCTCTCCCTCCTCCCAGCTGCACTCCTCCCTGGTGACTTAGAGAAACAGCCAAGCCAGGTGGTGAGCCCCATTCCGCGGGACAGGATCTCACAATGTAGCCAGGCTGGCCTCACACTGGAGATCCTCCTGCCTCAGCACCTTGTGTGTCCGGAATACAAGCATGCACTACCCCGCCTGGCACAAATGATTTCTTAGTGGTTTGCGGATGCACAGCCCTGTGTAAGCCTGTAGAGCCCACAGGGAGGAAGATAGGTTTTTCAGAGTATCTTGGACTGCACATTCTTGGAGCTTGCAAAGCTGAAGCTGGGGTTGCAGTTCTGGGGGATGCAGGAAGCTAAGTCTTTATTATAAACGCATATGCCTGGGGACCACGGTCAGACCTGGCTCAGAGGCTCTTGGTCATTCAGAGTCCAGCACCATCTGGCCTACTTGTTGTTGAATGGCATTGGAAGGAAAATCATTTAACCAACTTTGTGCCTCTACTTCCTGGTCCTCTGGAATAGAGTCGTGGTAAAGGTGCTGCCTCTTGAGACGTGGGGAAGATTAAGGAAAGAGATTCAGTTTGCATATTCTCGGGGCTGGGTACATGTTAGAGATTTTGTTACTTCGAATGCTGGGGACTGGAAGAATCTTTGAGGTCCCTTTGAGCGGTGACAGTCATGGATCCTCTGATTACAGTGTGATTACAGTGTGGTTTTGGCAGGGGTGGGGGGAAACCCAGAAGGTGTGAATTGTTGAGGAAGAGAGGAGGAGGCAGCTGGGGTGAGGATGGAGGGAGGGCTGGGGGTCTTGGGGTGTGAAGCCCCACCTTTGCTGTGCCCACACTGCTGATGGGGGAATTCCCACCAGAGAACACACCTGTGATTGACACAGGGGATCCAGGCCGCTTAGGTGAGGACAGGGTGGGTCTGAAACCTGAGTCCCTTCCTTGCTTCTGCCAGGACTGAGAATTCAGGTGGAAATTCCTGCTTATTTCTTCTTAAAGAAATTCCTTGAGGAACTGGAGGTGTGGCTCAGGTGGTAGAGTGACAGCCATAAGTGAAAAAGCCAAGCATGAGTGTGAGGCCCTGAGTTCAAGACCCAGTACAATACAATAATATAATACACCAAGTGCTGGTGGCTCACGCCTGTGATACTAGCTACTCAGGAGGCTGAGAGCTGAGGCGAATGGGTCAAAGCCAGCCCAGCCCAGATTAACCACCAAAAAAGCCAGAAGTGTAGCTATGGCTCCAAGTGGTAGAGTTGCTAGCCTTGAGCACAAAAGCTCAGGGACAGCACCGAGGCCCTGAGATCAAGCCCCAGGATTGGCACAAAGATAAATGAAATTAAATATTGGATATGCACACACACAGTCTAACCCCAGGGCTTGAGCAATGAGACAGGCCTAGATGTCCCTCCTTCCCTCCTAACTTCCTTCCTTCCTAACTTCCCTCCCTCCCTCCCTCCTTCCCTCCCTCCTTCCCTCCCTCCTTCCCTCCCTCCCTCCTTTCTTCCTTCCTTCCTCCCTTCCCTCCTTCCCTCCTTCCTTCCTTCTTTCCTTCCTTCCTTCCTTCCCTCCCTCCCTCCTTCCCTCCCTCCCTCCTTTCTTCCTTCCTCCCTTCCCTCCTTCCCTCCTTCCTTCCTTCTTTCCTTCCTTCCTTCCTTCCTTCCCTCCCTCCCTCCCTCCTTCCCTCCCTCCCTCCCTCCCTCCTTCCCTCCCTCCTTCCCTCCCTCCCTCCTTTCTTCCTTCCTTCCTCCCTTCCCTCCTTCCCTCCTTCCTTCCTTCTTTCCTTCCTTCCCTCCCTCCCTCCCTCTCTCTCTCCCTCCCTCCCTCCTTCCCTCCCTCCCTCCTTTTCTTCCTTTCTGGGAATGTCTAGTAAGCTGTCCCCATCTTCTGCACCTCATGTGTGCACACCCAGTCTACCTACTTACACCCTCAAATCTGTCAAGTCCCATGGTACATAGGAGGAGGAAAGGGCAAGTGATTTCTAACCAAACGTGTAACTGTAACGTGAAAGGACGTTTCTTCCTGGTGGGCAGTGGCCTCCAGGTAGAAGCTGCTACAGCAAACAGCACGTGGCCTAAGGAGTGGCACTCTGAATGTGGCCTTGCCACCCTGAAGATGCCAACACACCTGGCAAAGTTCTGTGCATCCCCCCCCCCCCTTATTTGTGATGCTGGGTATCAAACTTTAGGCCTCATGCATGCTAGGCAAGCATTCTACCACCCAGAGAAGGACAGGAGGGAGGGAGGGGAGGAAGGAGGATCTTCCCTTTGAAAGAAGAAAAAAATCTTCCCTTCTAGAAATTCAGTAGATATTGAACAAGCTGAAAACTACCTCTTTTTTTTTTAAATCCCTTGTGTCAGTCCTGAGATTCATGAGCACCTGAACGAAAGTGGTTTGCTGAGACAGCTGTCTGTGGAGAGTATTGGGGTGATATGTTGGTCTCAGGTTGAGGGGCTCCATTGCTTTCTGCCAATGTTCAGTAGACTCAGAGGAACTGGGAGCCCGACATGTAGCCTCTCCACAGCCCACACGGGCTCCCGTGGACAACCAGAGACCTAAGACCTGCCCCTGCCTCCAGCTGAGCCCTGTCTGGGGGTGCCTGTCCCACACTTGGAGCTCTGGGGGTTCATGTGTTTGCCAGCCTCTCACCTCCTCCATCTTTTCTGCGTCCTGTCCAGGGGAGATGGCATTGCTGAGTGGGGCCAGGGAGACAGAAGTGGGGGGCGTTCAGGGAGACCATTCTCCTTCCCTTCCATTCCTGCTTCTAGGCCTTAACCCTCCAGCCTCCTGACCTCCTCTCTCCTCTCTGTGGATACCTGGGAGCTGGTGGCGGGCCTGGGGGCTAGAAGGATGCTGTTGAGGCAGGCCATGACCTGGTGGAACAGGTCTCAGCCCACAGGAACAGGGCTCCCGTGCGAGTGGAGGGCAGCCAGCAAGGGTACTGTGTGAGCTGGTCACTTGCTGCCCCTCTGTGGGCCGCAGTGGTCTCATCCGTAAACGAGAACCCCGCCCCGGTGTCTGCTTGCTCTCACTGCAAGGAGCAGGTTCATGGAGCGCCTACTGTGTGCCAGCTGCTGTGCTCATAGGGGCTGGGGACCCAGCTGTGTCCTTCTCTGGGAAGCTTACCATTTAGTAAGTAAGAGACAAAATAAACAAGTAGACGAGTCATTAAAAATGGGGAGGGTTCTCGGGAACTTCACACGGGCCGGGAGTGGAGAGGGAGCCCTGAGGGCTGGGCATAAACGAACTTGAAGGGTTGCGGTGAGAGCCAGCTTCAGTCAACCGCAGAATGCTGGAGAAGTTGTGATAAATGTGCTGCTTTGTTTAGCACATTAAATAACAAGATCCAGCCGTGGGTCTAATGATGAAGGCGAGTTCAAGTTGTGACCAGCAGAAAAGATAGTTGGAGACTTGCAAGGGTTGTAATGTGATCCGTGAATATCCCAGCTTCGGCAGGCCCGGGTCACAGGTTCGGCCCAGACACCCCTGGCTTCCGTGGAGGTGAGGACACCATTGCTGGTCACAGGCCGGCTCCATGCTGAGGAGTCCCCACAGAGGCCACGCTAGCCCTCCCCATCTCTTCCCTCTTCCCTCCATTCCTCTCTCCCTTTTCTCCCTTCCTTCTTCCTTTCCCTCTCTCCCTTATTTTCCTCCTCCCTTCCCCTTCTCTCCCCTTCCCACCCTTTCTCCCTTCCTCTTTTCCTCTCTCCCTCTTTCTTCCTTCCTTCCTTCCTCCCCCTTCCCTCCTTCCTCCCCCCTCCCTCCCTTCCTCCCTTCCTCCTCTTTCTGCCTCTCTTCTTTCCTTCCTTCCCCTTCTTGCCTCCCTTTTTCCTTCCTTCCTTCCTTCCTTCCTCCCTTTTCCCCTTCCTCCCTCCCTCCCTTCTTCCCTTCCTCTCCCCCTGTTTCCCTCCCCTCTTCCTCCATGGTGTCAGGCGTAGAGGCCCGGTACTGGTGGTGGATAAGGACCTCCCCACTCAGCCACAGCCCTGGCCCTGCAGATGGCCACTCAAGGGACCACGTGAAGCCTCAGAGAGCAGGTTGCTCCAGTCCACCTTTAGTAGCTGCCGGATTGTGGCGTGGTCAGGGCTGTGGCTGCAGGGGTCCTCTGGTCTTGTGTCCTGAGTCGGCCTGACCCCTGCGTTAGCATGGCCCCTAAGCATGGAAGTGCTGGAAAGCCATGGAGGGTCAGCCATGCTGGCTGGCTGGAGAGGACAGGGGAGGACTCAGTTCTGGGGTCACCTGCCCCCAGGCTCCCCAGAAATTGCAGGTCTGCAGCTTCTGTGTCCAGAAGTCACGCAGGTACCTCTCCAGTCTGAGAGTGAGGCCCAGGTGTGTTCCATCTTTGGGTTCAGGGAGTGGGGTGCACACTGGGTCCCGGGGTGCAGCTGCTGTCTGCCCTTCTTAGCCCCCTCTGCCTCCAGGAGCCCTGGGCTCTCTGACACAACCCTGCAATGGGCTGGTGTAATCCCTGGCTGGGGCTAGAATCTCACCTGCGCAGAGCGCATCCAATCTCACTGGGCCCAACCCCGAGGGCCCCCCACCCATGACAGGTACTGTGGCCAGTACCCCAGGATCCCAGTGAGGACTGACAGGCGAGGTGGGCACACGGAACCTCCAGCCCAACAGCAAGAAGCTGTAGGGGTGTGAAGGACTGTGTGTGCGTGCGTGCGTGCATGTGTGTGTGTGTGCGTATGTGGGTGTGTGCATGTGTGTGTGTGTGTGTGTGTATGCGTGCGCGGGCAGCTCCTCCTCAGGTGCCCTTCCAGCAAACCCCTAGCCAGGGCCATGCCTGCCACTCAGCCCCAGCGCATAACACTCCCAGGGAGAAAATGCTAGATTGCAAGCAAACCTTTATCTCCTTCCTGCATGGAGGAACATGCTGGAACATTCAAGGCAGCATAGAAGTAGCCAGCAAGAGCTAGAAGAGAACATGAAGACCAGCTCAGTGTCAGAAGGCCAGAGTGCTGGGGAGCTGAGTGCTAGCCCACTTCATGTACACCTGTGATCCTAGCTGCTCTGGAGGCTGAGGATCATAGTTCAAAGCTCACCTGGGCAAGAAAGTCCATGAGATTCATATTCCAATTAACCACCCAAAGCCGGAGATGGAGCTGTGGCTCAAGTGATAGAGTGCCAGCCTTGAGCACAAAAGCTTAGGGACAGTGCCCAGGCCTTGAGTTCAAGCCCCAGGACCTACACACACACAAACACACTCTCCTCCCAGGAAAGTAGAAAAGAAGCCGATGCCGTCACTTGAGTTGGATCGTGACATGAAGTGACCACAGCAGAGGTTTCAGTCTCACTAATAATGGAAGTGAGACAAACAGAATCAAGAGAGTTTGGAGATCTCTCAGCTTGATAGACACATCGCCAGGCTGGTGACACTGGGTGATGATGCCGTAAGAGACCAGCACCCACAGACCCAGCCCAGCAGCCCCTCCCAAGCCCGCCACCGCTCCCCGCTTCTTGCAATCTATTCTGAGGAAATAACTCGAGATGCAGACCGAGATTTTTCTGAACAGAAGGTCATATTCATTTCATTCTGAATGGCTAAAAAAAAAAGTATTATTATTTTAAAAGCTTTTCCCCTCTCAGGAATTTTGAATGGAGTCTTTGGAGCCAAGTGTCTATCTAAAAATAGAACAGAGTTCTGGAAATAACAGTTGTGCCTACAAAGTAAAATGGCTACAGCTCCCAGACCCGTCCTTTTCCAGTTCCAATGTGCACAGCAGTAAGAAATTAGCCACAAAATCAGGACACAGACAAATAGAAGATGAGGCCTCTACAGTGAGACACTTGCTTTTCTCTAACTGTTTAAAAAAAAAAAAAAAAAAAAAAACCAACAAGGAAGTTTAAGCCAGGTGCTGGTGGCTCAACCTGCAATCCTAGCTACTTAGGAGGCTGAGATCTGAAGATAGGGGTTCAAAGCCAGACCAGGCAGGAAAGTTCATGAGGCTCTTACCTCCAGTTAAGCACCTCCCCCACCCAAAAAAAAGCCAGAAGTGGAGCTGTGTGTCAAGTGGTAAAGTGCTAGCCTTGAGCAAAGCTCAGGGACAGCATCCAGACCCTGAGTTCAAGCCCCAGAACTGGCATCAAAAAAAAATCAAGGAAGTTTTAATAACATGGCAGAGTCCTTCTGATGTGTTGAATGAAAAAAATGGCAGGAAAAAAAACCATTTTATACTCTTGCAGCTACGTAAAACAATTACCTGTGGTAATGGTGTTGATCTCTGGCTAGTAGAACTTGGGTGGAACTTTCTTCTTTATGGATTTTTGTTTTGTTTTGTTTTGCCAGTGCTGGTTTTGACTCAGGGCCTGCGCACTGTCCCTGTGTTTCTTTTATTCAAGGCTCACACTCTACCACTTGTGCCACAGTGCCACTTCCAGCTTTTTCTGTGTATATGGTTCTGAGGAATGGAACCCAGGGCTTCATCCATGCTAGGCAAGCACTCTACCACTGAGCCACCTTCCCAGCCCCTTCTTTATGAACTTAATTTGTTTATGTTTTCTGTATTCTTGGATTTTTCTACAAAAGTCAGTTAGTTTTAGAAAAATACACACACACACACATATGCATACCTGCAGCCCTTTTTCCTCCCACCCCAAAATCATATGGATTTCTCAATAGAAAGAACAGCTCTGAAAAAAAGAAGGAATAAAGCGAAGGGGGGGGGGTGGGGGAACGTGGGGAAAGGGGACAGAATCCTTACCAGATCTCCAGGAACCTTGAACATCAAGTTCAGCAGCTTGGGCTGGGAAGGTGGCTCAGTGGTAGAGCGCTAGCCTTGAGCTGAAGAGCTGAGGGACAGGGCCCAGGCCCAGAGTTCAGGCCCCAAGACTGGACCCCCCAAAAAAAAAAAGTTCAGCAGCTTGACCTTCACCCCGAGCCCCCTCTTCCATCAGGGCTGGGAGGGGAGAGACCTGGCCTTCCTGCAGATACCAGGCCCTAACCTCCTGCCTTTATCCCCCAGGAAAGAGCTTCACGCTGACCATCACCGTGTTCACCAACCCCACTCAAGTGGCCACCTACCACCGAGCCATCAAGGTCACTGTGGATGGACCCCGGGAGCCCCGACGTAAGTGCCGCCACGCCCCAGGCCAGGGCAGAGGGGTGCCCTTGGCCCCTGGCACACTGCTGGGGTCTCCAGCCTCCACGTCTACTGCGGCCGGGCCCTCTGGTCCTCGCCCCTGGGTGGAGAGGACAGTGGGGGGGGGGGGTTGTGGCAGAGCCAGGTGGGTAGCCCACCTCTCCTTTGGGTAACTGTGCCCAGGGGCAGCAGCGTCGGGTGCGCGGGACTCTGGGGGTGTTTGGAATGATGACTGCACCAGGGTCACTCTGCACCAGCTTCTCCCGCTCATGGCTGAGGATGACGGGTGGAGGGCAGTGGGCAGTAGGCTGTGCTGCCCTGTGAGGCCAGCTCCCTGGAGCGTGGGACTGGCTCATGTGTGTATTAAACACCTACTATGCCGGTCATCCCCTGTCTTAAGAGTCCGTATCTGGTTCCTTCTGCCTGGGGAAGGCCTGGAGTAAGAGGGAGGGGACGGGAACACAGGATGGGAGGGAAGACCAGGCAGCCAGCGCCGACGCTCTGCTTCCGGAAGCATCCAGAGCTGGTCACAGGCGCTCAGCCTGTGTGCCAGAGCCAGCCGGTCCCTCGCTTGCTCTCTCTGATCCTCGAAGAGACAGAAAAAAATTCTCACCTATTACTGCACAGGACCCTGTAACCGGGAGCCAAAGGGGGACCTCGCTCCTGGGGTGAGAGCTCCCCTCCTGAGGAGCCAGGTGCCTGGGGGGCCCTCACGCCATGCTGTGGGGGGCTGCCGTGGGCTGCGGGCTCCCCGAGGGAGCACTGCTGGTACTGAGCAGGTCTGGGCAGGAGAGCCACACAGAGGGGTGGCTGTGCCAGAGCCACATGGGAGACGGGCCCCCTGGCAGTGAGGGGCCTGGCTCTCCATCCTCCTGGTTTCTGGCCCCTCCTCATGGCTGGGCACTGGCTTGCGTGGCTTTGGGGTGATCCCCTCCTGACCACCAGGGGCCACATCCCCTGGGCCCGGGCTCTGCCATCAGCCAGTAGGCAGCGTCCCTCATCACCAAAGTACTTGCTCTAGCCAAACTCCTTCCTGCTGGGACCCCACGATCCAGCCCTGGGGATCGATGGCCCCTGGCCAGCTCTGCCTCCTTTCTGCCTCAGTGTTGCCCTTTGTGAGCCAGGTCTGTGAGCCCAGCAACCGGAAGATAGGGATGGCCGGAAGACATTGTCATCCACAGGCCTCGGGTGCAAAGCCCCAATCCTGAGGCAGCCTGGCTGTTGGACCTCAGACAAGTCACCTCTGCCTCAGTTTTCCTACCTCAAAACTGGGTTTAATCTGGCTGCTCCCTGGGAGTGCCATTATGAGGAGAGAGAGGTTGAGGTGTGCAGTTCTTACAGGGGAGCTGACAAGTGACAGTGTGCATGGCCGGCACTGTGTGACCTTGGGAGAATCTCTGACCCCGCTGGGCCTCAGCCTTCTTTTTTTTTTTTTTGGTCAGTTGTGGGCCTTGAACTCTGGGCCTGGGTGCTGTCCCTCAGCTCTTCAGCTCAAGGTGAACGCTCTACCACTTGAGGCACAGCGCCACTTCTGGTTTTCTGGTGGTTTATTAAGAGTTTCATGGCCTTTCCTTCCCCAGGCTGGCTTTGAACTGGGATCCTCAGATCTCAGCCTCCTGAGTAGCTAAAATTACAGGCGTGAGCCACCGGCTCAGCCTCTTCTTTCATGAGGGGTGACCCCACCCACCCTGTAGGCCTGGGCATCGTGGCTGCCTGTGGAGGGCAAATGGACTCCAGCCCCGGCCTGGCCTTCAGTCGGGATTGAGACACCGCCTGCACTCGGACGCAGAGGCGGCTGTGCGGCCGCTCTTCCCTGCACAGTCCTGGGCTCTGGGCCGTGGGCAGCCCCAGGAGGATCAGGGCAGAGCCGCTCGCGCACGCTCTGGACACCCTCCGCTCCATCTGGGGCTCTGGGAGGAGTGGCCGCTTAGAAAGCCGGTCTAGAACGTAGGATGGCTCCTGTGACGGTGTCGGGTGCTGTGGGAGTCAGCGAGGTTTCCGTAGGCCGGGCTGGCCGGCCCTTTGGGAGCCCCTGGTCCCTGTGCTTGCTCCCCATCTCCTCTCCAAGCTTTCCCTGCTTTGCACCCAGCTGTGGGTAAGGTGGGTGGGACAGGCTGGTCCCGGGAGCCCAGGGGAGGACACCCCAGGGTCCCTGAGGCCCGCGGCGTGTCCCTGGCTGGGTAGCTCCCCTCTGATGCCTTCCTTGCAAAGTGTGCCCAAGCCCAGCCTGCAGCCAAGCGGCCACGACCTGACGCTGGCGTGGTGGCCTCCTGCCTGTGTGGCCTGGTGTCTCTGAGTGGCTGGGGCTGGTGATTGCTGAGCTGGATTCAGGGCTGGGGGGGAGCGAGAGTGCCCACAGTTTGGAAATGGAGAACCCCATCTGTAGGCTTAGCAGATGCTGGTGCTGACAGCCTGGCACCCAGCTTCCAGGTCCTTCTGGAGACTCACCCCATTCAGGCCACCCCCCTCCTGCCCAGCACACTCCAGCGCTTCCCACCTTCTGAGGTGTGGGCTTCACGCCTGGGATTGCTCATTGCTCCGCTCCCGTCTCCATTTTGCCAAGCACTCTGTGCTAGGCTCAGTGTGTATTTGAGGAATACCCAGAGTAAACAAATAAGTAGTCAGTTTAGCTTCAGGTAGTGAGAAGTCCAGTAGAGGCCAGCAGATGTACAAGGAGTCTGGAGCGGTCAGAGCTATCTACCTCGCTTCCCACCCCCCACCCCAAGAGGCTGGGGGCGGAGGAGGCCCAAGGGCAGCTAGGTGGCAGCAGGGTGGTTGTAACATGGACTGAGCGCAGCTGCAGCAGGGCTGGGCTCTGGTTCCAGGTGTGTAGAAGGAAGCCTAGGAAAGGGTGCCAGGCTGTGGGGGGCTGCTGCCCTGCCCCCACCATCCTGGAGCGCTCCGAGGGGTGCAGGCCAAGGGGAGCCCGTCCGGCAGGCGGGAAGGGGTTAACCTCAGACCTCCCTGTGCGGCAGTCCGGGCTGGCACTCTAATCAAGGCCAGGCCTGGAAGCCCCGGTTGCAGACCTGGGAGGGAGCGGCTGCCTCTCCCTCCTTGCTGGCCCCCCGCCAGCCCGCTTCCCTGGCTGGCCACCGCTGGCTTTCATCTGCTCACAGGGGGCCGATTCACGGCAGACCACCCCGGGCCAGTGCCGGCTACCTCCGTGCACGCGGCTGGTTGGAGTGCATGCGGCGTAAATCTCCTGACACCGCAGAGGGCCGGCGCCCAGCCGCCAGCCTTGGGCCAGCAGGGTGCACAGTGGCGCTGTGTCTGGGCCGCAGAGGTTGCTGAGCGGCTGCAGGCGGCCAAGGGCCGGGTGATTGGGGCTTGACCCGGAGCCGGCCTCTTGCCAGCCACAGCCCAGGGGCCCCTCCTCTCCTGGGCAGCTCCAGACCTGAGGTTGACTCTCTGAGGCCTTCACGGTCCTACAGGTTGGAGGGAGGGGGGGAATGGCTGGGCCTGAGGGAGCTCCAACCTGGGCCCTGCACTGAATCTCTGGGTGCGGACGTGACCCTGAGAGGCTGGCAGGTGACCCTGCGAGGCTGGCAGGTGGCTGTCTGCTGCTCAGGCAGTGGAGAGGAGCTGCTCCCCGGCGAGCAGCTGGTCCGGAGGCCTTCCCTGCAGGCCTGTGTACTTCTCAACCCTGTCCTTGCCTTGGGGTCCCAGTGTGTGATCCCTACTCTACCCAGGACCACCAGGGCATGACGGCTGCCTCTCAGGGGCCTGGGACCACTGGGTGCTTGGTAGGGCAGGCTGGGCTGTGTCCTCTATGCAGGAGGGACCTGGGCGCTCCCCGACATGGTGCCTGGGAGTTGGTTGTCTGTGATCTGAGCCCCACCAGCAGGCAGGTGAGGCCCACAGACCCAGGACGGCTTTCCCCTGGTGGTGTCCGTCTTGACTCCACTTTTCAAAAGCTTGTGATCCGTCCACCAGCCAGTCCACCTGCACAGGGTCAACCAGGGCGCTGACCACCTTGTAGATGTGGCAACTCCTGCTCCTCGTGGAGAGCCTCCCCTCCCCCTTGCCCCATGGACAGCAGCCCTCCGCCCTGCCACCAGGCTGAGCCTTGCACCATGAGGAGGTCCAGATTTTTCTGAGCAGGGCGGCAGAGAAAGTGGGGTACCTCCCTTGGGCCTGGGGATCCTCAGTTTTTTATCTATAGAGAGGGGGTGCAGAGGCCCTTCCTCTCACTGAGAGAGGCAGAAGGGGAAGTAGAGGGAGTGGAGCTGGCATGGGGGACGCTAGCACTCAGGGGGCTTCAGGACCTCTGGATGGGGGGGTGGGGGGCTCTTCAGCAGGCCCCAAGAACAAGGCAACATTCCTGGCAGAGTGGCTGCCTCCTTCCGCCAGTCTGACCAGCATTGGATTCTTGTGATTTTAAGTCTGGGACTTTCTGAGAAGGGACTTGGAGCACTACCTGTACAGTAGGGAAACTGAGTCACTGAGGGCAGAAGGGCAGCGCACCAGGTGACCTGTGACCGGCTCCTGCTGTGGTACGCCGATGAGAGAGGCCTCTTCTGTAGCCCATCTCCTCGGGCACGGGCTCTTCCGTTGGTCTGACTCCTCATGTGAGTGCCCGGCCCAGGGCACTGAGACTCTCGGGCGCCTGGCCACGTGGGACAGCCGGACACCCCTTTTCCCCTCCCTGGTGGAGGCTCCAGCTCTCCACAGACAAAGGGAAGCGATTGTCATGTGCTGAGGCAGCCCCTCCCCCAGGAAGCCACCTTCCCAAGGGCAAAGCAGCAGGGGCCGGAGGGGGGACCTCCCCCTCACTGGCATAGCCCAGGCCAGGCCAGCCATGCAGCAGCATCCTGGGACCTTTGTTGGCCTTATCTGAACCATAGGGGCTGGAAAGGAAGTGTCAGGAGCACTGGACATGGAGTCCTAGAGCTGAGTATGAATGCTGCCCTGCTCGCTGGGCTCTGTTACAGAGATGTCACCATGGTGGCTCAATGTCTGTGTCCCTGAGCAGGAGCAGGGTGCGGAGGTGACCGTGGGGAAGCGCACAGAGGCTGCGAGACCAGGACTCCGCGGGCTGGCGCTGTGATGGGCGCAGCAGCCCGGGAGAAGCGGACTGGGACTTGAGCCAGGCCGCCCTTCTCAAACCCCATGCTGCGTGTGATCCGCCTTGCTTCCGTGTGTGTGTGTGTGTGTGTGTGTGTGTGTGTGTGTGTGTGTGTGTGCGCGCGTGCATGCAGGGTGTAAACACCTCGGCGCAGGCTGGGTTTGGCAGCTTTCAGCAGCCCCACTGCCCGCGTGGCGCTTGTGGTTCACTGAGATGCCCAGATCCTTCACACCCAAGCCCTTGTGAGGCCGCTGCGAGGCTCCACCGCCATCCGGCCGGCTTCCTGCCTGTTGAGATGACTCTGAATTCTCTGTCCCATCTCCCTGCCATTTCCAGTGGCCTCAGCCCGGCAGCCACATTTCCTCCCAGCCCTGGCAGAGGTGGCACTGAGCCGGGAACAGGAAAGCAGCCAGCAGGGGCCCATGGCGTCTGGGCGGCCCGAGCCCGTGCCCCCTATGAAACTGCCTCTCTACCTGCCGCAGCCCCTCCCCTCCCTCGGGCCTCCCTGACCGGCCTCCCACGGCCCCAGCGCCCGAGCCCACTTTCTCTCCCTTGTCACCAGGAGGCTCGGTGGCGGCAGCGGGAGCCGGGTGGTCTCGGGGCTCCTGTGGGTCCCCGCACCGCCCCTGCGGCTCTCGGATGCCAGGCAAACCCAGGCGTGGGTGTGGGGAGCAGAGATACCTGGATTCTGCGTGTGCTTTTTTTTTTTCCTCCTTGGTGGTACTGGGGGTTTGAACTCAAGACTTTGCACTCCAGCCCGCTACATCCCCTCCTTGAAAGAAACTCGGCCCCCTCTGGGACCCTGGCTCTGCCCCCCCCCCAGCTTGGCCCCCTCTGAGGCCCTGGCTCTGCCCCCTGGAGACACCTGTGACGTCACACTTAGGCCGTGCTCACTTGTCTACCCCACAGGCGTCGTGAGACTCCGTGGGCCCCCGCCTGCTCCTCTCCTCTCTGTCTAGAAAACCCCTCGTCGCAGTAGACCCAGGCCTCTCCGTTGGTAGCTCTCTTTGGAGACCGTGGAGGCAGAACTGGCCATTGGCTCACGGCTAGACTCCAGGAGTGTGCAGCCGCCATGGGCTCTGGACAACCCCAGATCCCAGTGTAGATGGGGCCGCTCCTGGGAGCCATGCAGAACCAAAGGGGACGTTTGCACCAGACCAGGCGTCCATTCAGAGAGGAACAGGGGTCATCACCCCTCCAAGAGAGGAAAAGCCAAGAACAAGGCTCTCTAATGGCACGGCCATCCCTGCAGTGTTCATCAAGCTCCAAAGAGAGCCAAGTCATTACATAGTGACACCATTCTAGAAGATTCCATGAGAGGTTTCCTCTTTATTTTTCACAAACACACAATCACAGACATACTAAGCGGGGGGACCCCAGGCTGCCATGGTGCTTTGATTTTGGTAAACGCAGTTTGCTTGTGAGTGCAGGATGAGTAGCTGGGAGGGTGGGGGGCACAGGCTGAGGTCAGCCCCCCCCCCGGCTTCGTGGGCCATGCAGAGGCAGGAAGCACTGGCTCCCCAGTGTCCTCCCAGGCCGGGCACGCTGGCCCTGGACCCCTGCTTTCAGCTCCTCGCCCCGGTGCCGCGCCTCCGCCTGGCGTCTGCCGCCACAGGGGTGGGATGGATGCCGGGCCGGCTCAGCGTGAGCAGCCTGCCTCCTTCCCCAGGGCCTCTCATTTTCCCCGCAGACCAGGTAAAGGGGGGTCCTGGCTGTGGGGCAGCACCCTCCCGGCCTCCCTGCCTTCCTAGAGCCTCCAAGGGCCACTTTCCCAGGCTTGTTGCCTCAGTTTCCCCTCTGTTGTGGGAGTTGACAGACTTGGAGCTGAGCCCTGACTTTGCGCACAATGACTGCTCCCTGCCTGTGACCAGGAGCCTGTGGTGTCAATCCTATCCATGTCCGCAGGGGACACCCCGGGGAGGGGGCATTAACCACCATTCTGCATTCAGAAAGTCTGGGAACCTCAGGGGAGGTTGGTGGTGATCCCAGGGTTCTCCCCACAGAGGTCTAAGGTTAGACCTCAGGAAGGACTTCCCAGCAGAGCGAGACATCGTATCCCCTGAGACTCCAGGAAAGCAGTGGTTGATGAGCTGTGTGTGCTCCGCAGGGCACCGGCAGAAGCTGGAAGACCAGACCAAGGCCTTCCCCGACCGCTTTGGGGACCTGCGCATGCGGGTGACCCCCAGCACGCCTAGCCCCCGTGGCTCGCTCAGCACCGCCAGCCACTTCAGCAGCCAGGCCCAGACCCCGGTCCAAGGTATGGAGCAGGGGAGGGCTGGGGGGAGGAGGGCTGGAGGGGGGGCGGGGGACGCAGGCCGGGGCCCTTCCCAGAGCCAGCCAGGCCCAGCCAGAACCCTCCTGGCTTGCAGGTGTCCCCTGGGACCACAGAAACACCCCTCCCCACCTCAGCCTGAGTCCCCTGGGACGCGTGGGGTTAAGCCAGTATTCCCATTGGCTGCCCAGCCTGCCCTGCCCTCCAGGAGGCTGCATGCAGCTGGTACGCAGGCTGGGGCAGGTGGTCAGCCGCAGGTCTGACCCCTGGCTGGGAGACGGGCTGGCACTGTGCCCTGGGCCAGGCCCTCTCCTCCCCCCAGCCTGAAGGCCCCTGAGGCAGACGAGGGGCCCTGCCCGGCCCTTGTCACGCGCTCCACGCGGGGTGTCCTCGTGGTAGGGGCTTGGCGATGCCCGTTCTAACTGGGCCCTGGGTGGGGAGAGCTCCCCACCCAGAGCTCCACGTCTCCTCCAGAGACGTGGAATGTGAGACTCCGCTTTCCAGCACTCAGGTGCTGTGGGTGGGGTTCAGCCTCCGGAGATGGGCGGTGCCCCTTATTTGGCTCATGCCACCCCCGCCCAGGAACTGCTCCCCTTCTGACCCCCACCCAGGCCATCACGCCCAGTCTCCCTGGGCAGAGCCAGGTCTAGTGGGGAGTGGGGCCCAGCCAGGGACACCCCCGAATATCCAGCCCCGGAGTGAACCGCGGCTTCCGCTCCTCCAGCTCTGTGCAGGGAGAGGCCACCCGGCCTTCTCAGCTGGCGTGGTGTGGGGGTCAGGGCCCTCGGGGGCCGGAGCAGGCAGAGTTTCTGCTTGTCGCTGGGCTGGAGGAGAGGAGACGGCATTTCGCTGTCCGCAGGGCCTTGCTGGGAGCCCTGGCTCTGCCTTGCGCTGTGATCTCAGACAAGTCACAGAACCTCTCTGAGCCTCAGGCCTCTCTGCCACAGGGGGCTTGAGCAGGCTGCCCTTGCCCCTGGGGAGCAGCTCTGCCTCCAGGCTCTGGCCCGGGGATCCCCCTGGGTGCCTGTTAATAGCTTTGAACCCCTGGCTTTGGTCACTGGCAGCAAAGTCAAAGCCCAGCTCCTCTGAGCCCCCTCCCCCGCCCCAGCCTCCACAATGGGGGCTTCTCACCACTCAAAGGGCCCATTCAGCCACCATGTAGCAGCCGGGCCCGATCGCAGAAGAAAATAAACATTTCCTGCACTGTTGGGATTGGCTGCTGGACAGCAGCGGCCCGGGCAGCTCGGGTTTCCTGGGGCAGTGGCCGGGGGTGGGCGCGGGACTGCGGAAGCGGCCGGGGGTCTGGGGAGTGCCCGAGGTAGGTACTTCCCAAGTATATGGAGGGGGCTGGGGAGACGGCAGGCCCGGGTCCTCCACTTCAGGGCCTCCTGCCCACTCTGGGGTCCTTCGTCAGGTGGGCAGAATCCCTCTCTGCCCTGCCCCCGGTGGGCTTGGGCTTCCTCTTCCTGGGGTGTCTGGGGACAGCAGGCATCAAGGCTTTTCACCAGCCAGGACCAGAGACCCGAGGAGAACAGGTGTTCCCCAAGGTCAGCTAGCACTCAGGCCGAGATGAGGCAGCTGGAGGCCATCCAAACCCCACCATGGCCAGCAGGGCCCGACCAGGACTGGCACAGGCTTCACTGGGCCAGAGGATGCCGCTTGGCTGGTCTTCAGCGTCCTCCCCTGGCCCTCCGCCCTTGACGGGTAGAGACCGTGGGGCTGGGCCAGGCAGGCATCACCTGAGCCCCACCGCAGCCAGAGTACAGGGGTCGGGACCTCACCTTCCAGGGTCCTGAGTGGCATCGTGTCTGCAGCAACGACTGCGCTGTGCCCAGCTCCACTGGAAACCTGTGGGGACTTGATTCTTACTAACTGGTGTCGCCCCCGGGAAGTAGATGCTCGGAGAGTAGATGCTCAAGGATGCACAGCTAGTGACGGTCAAACGCGGGTAGCTGTCTTGCTCCAGAAGCCACATGGCTGGGCAGATAGATGATGGGGTTTTGCCCTAGATCCCTCACGCTCGCTGTCTCTGGGCCTTGCGTGTTCCCACTCACGTGGTGAGACTCAATGCTGTGGTTACAAAAGTGTGGGTGCAGGCTGTGATGCTCTCAGGCTGCACTGGGCTGGCATGGGAGGGCCTGGGGGCAGGAGGCTGCTGAGCTGTGCCGCGCCCCCTCACTCATGCCCACCCCCCCCACCCCCGCGGCGAGTTCACAACTGCCTGTTCACTCCCCACAGTCCTCCCTCACCACCTCGATGGTGTCTTCAGAAGAGGGGGTGCAGCGCCTCCTAAAGGCCCTTTCACACCCACGTCCAGCCCTTGCACCCTGTCTTCAGCCTGCCCCTGCCTGCCAGGCTGGGTGGAAAGGGGCAGCGCCGGGACCCCAAGGCCCCCCTCCAAAGAGGCCCTGGGGTGTCCCGGGCTGCCCCTGACTCCCTCCTTGTGTCCCCAGGCACCTCGGACCTGAACACCTTCCCGGACCCCCGCCAGTTCGACCGCTCCTTCCCCGCGCTGCCCACCCTCACCGAGAGCCGCTTCTCCGACCCCAGGATGCATTACCCAGGTGCCATGTCAGCTGCCTTCCCCTACAGCGCCTCTCCCTCGGGCACCGGCCTGGGCAGCCTGGGCGTGGCGGGCATGCCAGCCGCCAGCCGCTTCCACCACACCTACCTCCCGCCGCCCTACCCCGGGGCCCCGCAGAGCCAGAGCGGCCCCTTCCAGGCCAACCCTGCGCCCTACCACCTCTACTACGGCGCCTCCTCGGGCTCCTACCAGTTCTCCATGGTGGCCACAGGCAGTGGTGAGCGCTCGCCCACCCGCATGCTGGCCTCCTGCCCCAGCAGCGCCGCCTCCGTGGCCGCGGGCCACCTCATGAACCCCGGCTTGGGCCAGGCGGACGGCGTGGAGGCCGACGGCAGCCACAGCAACTCGCCCACCGCCCTGAGCACGCCGGGCCGCATGGACGAGGCTGTGTGGCGGCCCTACTGACCGCCCGCCGTGCGGACCCCAGCCCTCCGCGCGGCGACCCTGCGCCCACAGGACTCGGGTCGCAGAGGTTCCCGTGGCAGCCCGGCCTCACGGATGTACTGACGTCCCCAAGACACTGCCCAGCCCAGACCCTCCGCCTCTCCTCCGGCCGCCGCCCAGCTGGGAAGAAGCCAGGGAACCCCTGTGGTCTGCGCACCACCTGAAGCTCCATGGGCCATGCCCACCCTCTGCATTGACACTCACTGAGTCAGAACTGGAAGCCCCTCCACCCCCCCCCACCCGGTACCGGATCCTCTCTCTGTGGAGGGGGTGAGGGCACCCCCAGACAATCCTCTGCCTGCCCCCTAGCACCTGCCAGCCCACAGCAGACCCGCGCGGCCCCTGTCCCGGGCCCTCTACGTGCCTCCCAGACCCTACTGCTCCTCCCGCCTGCCCCACAGGTCTCCCTGGAAGGTCTGACCCATGCCATTTTTGAGAGAGAACTTGAAGGCCAGACAGGTCCCAGCAGAAAGGGGACGTCCCTGTCCCCTCGCTCTCTGGAGCTGTAGCTCTCACCCGCAGCCTCCAGACCCCTGCGCTCGCCTCTCCACCCTGTTCTTCACTCCACAAGCCAACGTGAACCAAAACCAGTTTTTAAAACTGATTTCAGGAAAAGCAGCTTCACCAGACATTTTGAAACTAGGCCTCTTACAGATAAAAGCTCTCTGACTGTGAGCAGCCCACTGCCGGGACCCCCACCTCCCTCCCCAGACTCACGTTTCTACATGCAGGCGACCGAGGGAGGCACCTGACCATCGTGGCCCAGGGGCTCAGGCTGGGGGTCCTGTCTCAGTTCTAGTCCTGGAAAGCCCAGGAGAGATCACCAGGGCTGGCCAGGCTCCGTGGCTGTGGAAATCTCCCCTCAGTATTCCTCAGTGAGGGCCACCATGCCACCCCCAGCTGTGATCACAGCCACGTTACGAGCCTGGCAGGCTGGGGGCCTGTGATCCCTGCACACCTCTCCTGCTGTAGTTTGCTCTTGTCCTGCCCTCCCTGGGCAAAGCAATGGCTGCCTCTTTAACTTAGTGGCTGGGGTGACCTGCGGGCTCTCTGGCCCCTTCTCAGGAAGCAGTTGCAAGTCCACTGCCCTCTTGCCTGCGCTACTCCCAGTCTGTGCTGTGACCTGGGCCAGGACAGCCAGGGAGGCATCTGGGTTCCTGATACCCAGCACTTTGTAGCCCACCCTAGAAGAAATGACTACCCCTTCCTGGTACCTAAGCCCTGGTGGGACAGGAAGTAAAATTCCCCCTCCCCCTCAGGCCTGACAGTATCAGCAGCTGGGCTGGTAAAAATGGGTCCTTATTTGCAAGGCTGCTTTAAAGTCATGGTAGGCCAGTGCACTGAATAGGAAACACCAGAGAGCAAAAAGTTCTGACACAGTGTTGCTGTGAGCAGTTCGGATCCTCCGTGGCTTTGTCCGGAAGCCGCTTGGAGCCCAGGGGAAGGGAGGGTGGAACTGCTTTGCACTAGCGTCTGCTTGGTGTGTTTCTGATGCACAACTTGCTTGTACAGTAAATGTCTTCTGTACTATTTAACTGTAAAGTGGAATTTTGACCGATTTGTTACAATAATATAAACTGAATGTGTTGAAGGATCCTGTGCCAGGTTTCAGGGTTATGTGCCTGAGGGATGGGCAGAAGACCTCCTGCCCAGGAGACGAAGCGGTGCCTGGGGCGGGGGCAGGGCTGAGCCTGCTGTGACAGAGATGCTCTGCCATCCAGCCAGAGATCGCGGCCCAGGGACAGCTGGAGAGATCCCCTCCCCCCGCACGCGTGCACAGGACCCCAGATGAACATCAGAGAGGTCACAGAGGAGGAAGCGCGCGGCAGGGCACTGACTTCCTACCAGAGGCAGAGGTGGAAGTGACAGCAGGCCATGCAGATGTCCCTCCAGGTTTGGATTCCAGGGGGTGACAGGTTGGGAAGTCGGGCCACAGCCCCACAACTGCCTTAGCGCCCATTTTGCAGATGAGCCACCGAGGTGCCATCAAGGCGTCAGGTTCCATAGCTAGAGCTGCTCAGGGCGGAGCTGGACCACAGCCAGGAGATGGGCGTGATGGCACGGCCATGCGACCCCTCCTCCCACACCCCCAGCCTGGGCCGGGCCATGTTAGATCACGGGGTGAGCCGCCCTGGGTGGGTCCTTCACAGCCGAGATCCCTTCACAGTGGGTCTGCGCCGGATCTCCTGTAGCTATAGGATCCCTCCACAACAAGCCCTGGGCGGATCTCCCAGAGCTGCAGTGGCTCTCCTCGGTGGGCCCTGGGTGGATCGCCCTGGCATCTGCAGAGCTGACCCGGAAGCAGTGCCACCGTGCCCAATGCCCTCCTTGTATTTGTGTGTATTTGGAGTCGCCTGGTAATGAAGCCTGGCCCCCACGGCTGGCAGGAGAGCTGTGGCCTCTGGAGCCTGTGCTGAAGCTGCCAGCACCTGTACCCCACTTGCCAAGGGGCAATGGAGACCCTGTCTAGCCCAGCACCCCTGTGAGCCCGTGAGGAAGCATGCAGTACTGGCAGTGGCCTGCAGGTGGCGGTGGGTGGGGCCTGGCTGCGCAGCGGGAGTGGGGGCGGGTGTGGGGAGGGCTGCCTGAGCTGCAGAGGTATTAGAAAGAACTTCCGGTCCTCTGTCACCTTGGACAGTCCCGGAGACTCTTAACGGGGGAGCCGGCCTTCCTCACTACTGGGGCGAGCCAGCCCCACCCCGCTCAGAGCACGGGCAGGGTGACAGGCCCTGATCCCAAGGCCCAGCTGGACAGGGACTTACCTGGCTGAAGGGAAGGGCCGCTGTCTGAGGTGGGATGAGCCCAGCTTCGGGAGCCCGAGGGAGGCTGCCCACCTCCCCTGTGCTGCCCCAGAATCAAGGGCCTGGAGCACCCGTTGGGGTGGGGAGACCATCGGCTTCCCAGCCTGGGGTCCCTGAGTCCGGGGTGGGCAGTCTGGGGCTGGCCCAGGGGCAGGGGAAGGGTGGCCTCCTGGACACTGGGCTGTGTCCGGCGCCTCCCGAGGGAGACGGGGCTGAAGGGACAGCAGCTGGCACCGAGGGGCCACGAGGCTCTTACGCTGGGAAATGGCTGTCCTAGCAGGGTTTACCTGAGGGGAAACTGAGGGTCAGAGGAGACAGTGTCACGTGGCTCACGGAGGAGGAAATGTGGAGACCCTGACTGCTTCACTCCTCAGCCCAGACCCCTCCCCTGCTCCAGACCGTGCCCCGTAAATGGCAGCCAGGGCCCCTGGCCGAGCTCTGGGCCACTCTCTACCACACCAAGCACCCCAGCTGGGCGCGGGGATGCAAACAGCGCAGAGGCAGGTTCATCCTGCTGTCAGAAACGAAGCCCTGGAAGGGGCCAGGCAGGGGGGCCTGGTGAAAGGAATGGCTGTGGTGACCAAAGCCTGCCAGGCCTGGGGGGCTGGGGCCTGTGCCCCACCTGTGTGGTCCCAGTGAGAGGACCTGGGGGCCGATCCCAGCCTCTAGCCCCTGTGCTGTGTGTTTTATGTATTTGCATCCCTCTAAGCTGGCCTGCGAAGGGGCCACAGCCCTCAGTCCCTTCCCAGAGCTGCCTCCCTGGTCCTAATAGGGCAGCTGCTGAGCCCCACAGCCCCACGCTGCTCTCTTCAAGGCCAGAAACCCAGCTCCATTTACCAGGCCAGGAAGAGCTAGGGAAGCCATAGCCAGATGCTCACAGGGCAGCCATTGGGCTGACAGGTGGTAGACCTAGCGAGGGCCAGGGCAAGCACGGAGGGCACCCTTCAGATAGGATGGGGAGGAAAAAAGTAGGAAACGATCAGGTTAAGAATCAGCAGGCAGGGGCTGGGAAGGTGGCTCAGTGGTAGAGTGCTTGCCTTGCATGCCTGAGGCCCTGAGTTCAATTCCTCAGCACCACATAAGAAAAAAAGCCGGAAGTGGCACTGTGGCTCAAGTGGTAGAGCGCTAGCCTTGAGCTGAAGAGCTGAGGGACAGCGCCCAGGCCGAGAGTTCAGGCCTCACAATCAGACACCCCCCCCCAAAAAAAAAAAAGAAATCTAAGAATCAGCAGGCAGAGCTGGGGATGTGGCTTAGTGGCAGAGTGCTTGCCTAGCATGCATGAAGTCCTGGGTTCGATTCCTCAGTATCACATACACAGAAAAAGCCAGAAGTAGTACTGTGGGTTCAAGTGGTAGAGTGCTAGCCTTGAGTAAAAAGAAGCTCAGGGACAGTGCTCAGGCCCTGAGTTCAACCCCCAGGACTGGCAAAAAAGAAAAACTAAAAAACAAAAGAATCATCAGGCAGGTATGCAAATAGACGCTCTCCCATACAAACGCCCAGGAACCCGGCATAGGACCAAGCTGCGAAGGACAGCAGGGAAGAAAAAGGAGAAGCCAGCAGGACTAAAGGCGTAGCTCAGCTGCCTAGCAAGCTCCAGGCCCTGAGTTCAAACTCCAGGTCTGCCAATCGTAATGGCAGTGATAGTTAATACTGAATGCCTGCCAGTCACTAATCAAAATACTTTCCCATTGTTAGCTCAGTGCGTTGAGTCCTAATCATTTTACAGAGGGAACAGGGCACACATGCACCCCGGGAACCCCTATCCTGCCAAGGCAAAGCAGTAATGGGAGATAGCAGGCTTACGTTTCCAGCCAGCGAGAGCTGGAAGTAAGCTCTGCACCAGGTGGCAGGGAAAGGGAACGTTGCTTACGTTCTGTGACCCAATCTTCTGCCATGGCCGTCATCAGGAGAGGAGAAAGAAGAAGCGAGAACGCATCTTTGCTTAGAAGCAGAAGTAGAAAGGACTCGGTAGGGTGGGCTGCGGCTCCCTGGCAGGGCTCTGGCTCAGGACATCGCGTGCGTGGCTCTCCGCCTGGCTTTTTTCTTCTCAGTACTGAGGCTGGCACGCAGGGCCTTGTGCCCTCAGGCCTGCTTTTTCACTCAAGGCGGGAACTCCACCACTTGAACCACACCTCCACTTCTGGCTTTTGGGTGGTGAACTGGAGATACTAGTCTCCATGGGCTCAGGCTGGCTTCAAACCGTGATCTTCACATCTCAGCCTCCCTGGCAGCTAGGATTACAGGCATGAGCCACTAGTGCCCGGCTTACTCTGCGTCTGAAAAGCAGAAGCATGGTTCTAGGATTCCACAAAGTGGGAAATTGAATGAAAAGTCACATCCTTGGCTCCTTTGGGTACACCGCAGCCCACCCATCCCCGTCCTCACCCAGACCCCCACACATGGTAGGGTGTCTGCCCAGATAGCTTCTGCTTTTATGTTTTGCCCCATGAAAACAACTTCAGACCCTATCCTCATAAAGCAACGTTAACCTGGGGGGTTCTTGCTGAGGCTAGCGGGGTGGCCGGCAGTGGCCCTGGACACACTCAGAGGCCCTGGCTTGGTTCCAGTGCTCTGGTGTGGCTTTGAACAGACCTTTGATGGGGGCTAGTCTTTGGGGAGCCTTTGGAAGCTCCTGGCCTCTCTAGCTTGTATCTCCCTGGCCTACAGGGAGCCTGGCAACGCCCCAACCTTTTGATTTCTTAAGTCAACAGTGGAGCCCGGCAGGGAGGGCACCCAAGACTCTATTGACTTGGAGGTTTTATTTAAAATGTTCCGTTTCCTTGAGGCGTGCGTCAGACCCACCAAGACAAACAGCCAGCAAGGGGCTGAGGGGCCCAGAGGGGAGCCACCGGGAAGATGGCCCACCTTGGCCTGCCCCCTGCCTTCCCCCAGAAATGGCATCTGGCATGGATGCTCCACACGAAGCCCCAAACTTCCTTCTGTTCTCCCCAAGAGGAAGCCTGTTACTCCAGCACACCGCAGCTGAGCACCCCATCAGGACTCGGGGAGAGGGGGCAGGAGCTGGCTACGAAGAGGTCAGAGGTGACTTTAGCCCCCAAAGACCTCATGCCGGCCCGGCGCCGGTGGCTCACGCCTGGAATCCTAGCTATTAAGGAGGCTGAGATCTGAAGATGGTGGTTCAAAGCCAGCCCGGACAGGAAAAGCTGTGAAACTCTTTGCCAATAAACCACCAGAAAATGGAAGTGGCGCTGTGGCTCAAGTGGTAGAGCTCTTGGCTTGAGCTGAAGAGCTGAGGGACAGCGCCCAGGCCTAGAGTTCAAGCCCCATGACCACCACCACCACCAACAAAAGCTCATGTCAGAGGGGAGAAAGGCTGTGAACAAAGATAGATATATTACATGATTCCAGATCATCACAAGTGCTATGAAACTAAAACAAGGTTTGGAGGCATGGCTCGGTTGGTAGAGCACTCGCTCCTTTTGCTAACGCTCACCAATGAGCAAAAACAGTATCAGGAACTGAGTTTGAGTCCCTGTCTTGGACCAAAAAAAACTAAAACTAGAGTATTTGAGGGAGGAAGCTTAGCAGCCTGCAGGCAACTTTGGGAGAGGCAGTCGGGAGGGCCTCCTGGAGGAGGGGTGCAGGTCGGTACACACACAGCCCTCGTTCCTCCCTGTGTGCGACACTAGACCGGCCACAGCTCCCAGCGCAGATCCACACAGTCTCCGTGCGGCTGTCCATGACAGAAAGGCGATGTCTGCCCAGGGATGTGGACATATCCACCATCCACACCCGTGCAGCCCAGGGACTCGCTCAGCCGATCGCGAGTGCC